GGGACACTGCCTCCTTGCGGGTCCCATGGGTTGGAGTCTATATTGATGACTCACGGTGGCCCAGCCCTCCAGTCCTGGGGGCAGAGCCCTGGGCTCCTGCACGCCTGTCCCCCCACAGACCCTGGCAAAGCGCTGAGCCACTCCCGTCTGAGCGGAGACACAGGTGCAGAGAACCCATTCTGGCCCCTTCTTGGAGGAAGTATTCAGACGAGAACAAGGAAGTGACAGCGGCTGGGTGGGACTCCCTGAGATGGAGGAGGTGCCAGGCCAGGCTGGCATGGCCCACGGGGGCACCGTACCAGTGGGGAGGAGCAGTGGGGCCCAGATTGGGAACAAGGGTTATCAGGGGTGTGGCTCTGCAGAAAGCGCCCCTGCCTTATCGCTCTCTTTGCCAACTGAAGAGAGACGCACTCTTGGAGACAGAATTGGCAAGTTCCATAGCTGGCTGCTTTAGCAGGAAGCAGGGGAAGGAGTCAGGGGCCAGAGAAAATCAGGGGTGGGTGTTACATAGCCAGATCTTTAAGCGTCAGAAAGAAGTCTACCAGCCCCATAGTGGTTGAGATGTGGCCGAGGATGGTCAAGATGGCCCTATCAGCTCTGGAAGGACCCACCCAATCAGCCTGAGGAGTCACCACTGAGCCAACCCTTTAGAGGCCTTAGCGGGGCCGGTCATGTGTGCTTTGGTGTCCTCCAGTGGACATACGTGGTACATGCATACAGACTTGCAATGGGTTTTACCCACATTTTAACCCTTTGCTTTTTCTCTTCTCCCTGCACCACCCTTTCTGGTAAATGACCCCTTTAAAACTGCAGGCAGGCTTGAGCAATGACTTCAGCTGTGGAAACATGAGAATCACCTCCCAAGCACTATGAAGGAAAGAGTTTATTGACACACAATTATCATACTTGTCTGATCCCAGGCAAATATCAGTATTTGCTCATTGAAATTTGACTCAACCACACAAGGAGAAGAAGGAGAAAACCAGCTTCCCGAGTTATATATCTGACTTTTATTATTACCTCTTGGGATCCATGTCTGAGGTCCTCAGTTTCTAACTCACCCACCAACCGAATGTCATAAACCTTTGTAAGGAATTGATTGTGCAGGCAACTGTGAAAATAAGGAGAGTGGGCCAGAATCATTCATTCATTCACTCACTCACTCATTCAGTCAGGGGTTATTGATGCCTCCCTTGTCCAAGCAAGGCACTGAGGATGCTGGATGCAGCTGTGGCATTATGCTAAAGAGCCCAGCCTATGAAATCAGGCAGACGTGAGGCTGCATCCCAGCTTTGCTTTCTATAAGCTTCATGACATTGAACAAGCATTTACTCAGTTTCGGTTTTTTCCTTACTTTCTCAAACAGTTAGAAATGACAGTACCTCCTTCATAAAGCCGATCGAGGATTGAATGAGTTGTAAATGTAGTAAAGCTCTCAGCTCTGAGAGTGGCCACAGCTGCTCCTGGTGTGCAGAGTGGCCACCAAACCTGGGAATGATGCGAATGCATGACAGGATAGCTGACATTTCATCACAATACAAAACGAAATCATATGGTCTATGTTTCCGGACCTTACAGCCACCTTACGTCCCCTCTGCCCTTGATGAGTTTTCATTCTAGACCAGTAGTTCTCAAAGTGTGGTCCCCAGGGCAGCAGCAGCAGCATAACCTGGGAACCTGTTAGAGGTGCAGAGTCTCAGACCCTCTGAATCAGAAACTCTATGGCTGGGGCCAAGCAACCTGTTTTGACAAGCCCTCCAGATGATTTGGATGCACACTCAAGTTTGTGAACCACTGATCTAGGGAAAATGACACGTGTAAACAAAGAATTACAATACAGGTGGGCTCTCCTGAGCAAGTGACACCATGAGCAGAGTCTTGAAGGAAGAGCAAGTGTTCACAGGTGGACACAAGCCATGTTGGAGGAGGGATTCCACTAAGAAAGGCTGGGGGCATGGAATGGAGGTGTGTGCTAAGGGAACCACAAGCGATTTAGTCTATCAAAATGGGGTGTGGGGGGAGGCTGGAGAAGGTGGGCCGGAGCCAGATTACAAAGCCCTTTCAAGTGCCTGAGAAAGGAATTTAGATTTTATCCTATAACTGATGGGAAGCATGGAAGGTGTCTAAAGGAGAATGATATGACCACATTTGCATTGTAGAAAAAAAGCACTCTTGGGATTTCCCTGGTGGTCCAGTGGGTAAGACTTTGTGCTCCCGATGCAGGGTGCCTGGGTTTCATCCCTGGTCAGGGAACTAGATCCCTCATGCATGCCGAAACTAAGACCTGGTGCAGCCAAAATGAAAGAGAGAGAGAGAGACAGAGAGAGAGAGAGACGGAGAGAGACAGAGAGAGAGAGGGAGAGAGAGGAGAGAGAGAGAAAAAGAAAGAAGAAAAAGAAAGAAAAAAGCACTCTTGCAAGCAGTATGGCCTGGAGGCAGGAGGATGAGTTGGAAAGCTGCAGAATGATCCAGGTGAGAGCCCGTGTGGGCATGAACTTGGGTGGTGGCCATGGGGATGATGAGAAGTGGGTGGGTTGAGAGATATTTAGGAGGAAAATTGACAGGACCTATGGGGGAGGGGCCTGAAGGTTCTGCTTTGGTGGCACTTCTGACAAAGATGGAACCGGTGTTGGTGATGGGAAGGCAATGAGTTCAGGACTGGAAAGGCTGAATTGGGGGTGCTGAGGAGAATGCCCTGGGCTGGTAGAGAGGAATTAATTATGCCTCTATTGTTTCTCTCCCAACATTTTTCATTCATTCATTCATTGCACCAAATATTGGGTTCCTATCTTGTTCCAGAAAGGTTCCAGGACAGAGTGGAACACAAGATAGCCAGAATCTGCTCTCAGGGTTGACACAGCAGTGGGGGGCACCAGCCATAAAATAAGTAACGGAATACGTAAAAAAAACCTTTCAGGTAGCGGTAGGTGCTATGAAGAAAAATAAGGGGGACTAAGGAGGAGCAGGAGGGAACTTCAGAGGGGTCATCAGGAAAGGTCCGCTGAGAACATGACACTTGAGCTCAATGTTAAGTAGGAGCCAGATGTACAAAATAGGAGGAAAGTGGGCTTCCCTGGTGGTGCAGTGGTTGGGAGTCGGCCTGCCGATGCAGGGGACGCAGGTTCGTGCCCCGGTCCGGGAAGATCCCACATGCCATGGAGCGGCTGGGCCCGTGAGCCATCCATGGCCGCTGAGCCTGCGCATCCAGAGCCTGTGCTCCGCAACGGGAGAGGCTGTAACAGTGAGAGGCCCGCGTACCGCAAAAAAAAAAAAAAAAAAAAAAAAGGAGGAAAGTGCACCCAGGCAGAGGGAACAGCAAATGCAAAGGTCCTGAGGTAAAAGTGAGTTTGGCCTGATGGAGAAGATGAAAATCAGCACAGCTGCCCAGTTGCGGGAGATGAGGGCAGTGAGGGGAACAAGGCCAGACCATAGTAGTTTTTAAAGACTGATGAGATGAGGTAATACATGTGAAAGTTCAGGACCTCCTGGCAGTCCAGTGGTTAAGACTCCGTGCTTCCACTGCAGGGGGCATGGGTTCCATCCCTGGTCGGGGAATTAAGATCCTGCATGACATGCAGCCAAAAAAAAATACATGTAAAAGTGCTTCATAAGGGACTTCCCTGTGGCGCAGTGGTTAAGAATCCGCCTGCCAATGCAGGGGACACGGGTTTGAGCCCTGGTCCAGGAAGATGCCACATGCCACAGAGCAACTAAGCCCATGTGCCACAACTACTGACCCTGTGCTCTAGAACCTGCAAGCCACAACTACTGAAGCCCGCGTGCCACAACTACTGAACTGCAATTACTGAAGCCCACACGCCTAGAGCCCGTGCTCTGCAACAAGAGAAGCCACCACAATGAGAAGCCCGTGCACCACAACGAAGTGTAGCCGCTGCTCACCACAGCTAGAGAAAGCCCGCACGCAGCAACAAAGACCTAACACAGCCATAAATAAATAAATAAATAAATAAATAAGAAAGTGCTTCATAAATGATCTCAAGAACCAGTCACACACAAAGGAATACTAAGGTGGTATCTTCAAGGAGAAAAGAAGTAAGTCTTAACTGAAGCAAGGAGTTTGGCTCAATTTCAGGAAAAGCTCAGGCTATGAGAGCCATGTCATATCAAAACAACTTCCAAAATGGATCATTTGTCCATTTTTGTTGTTGTTTTTGTTTAAGAATATGGTTAACAGCCGAGTTGATGTAAGTGCTGGCTGGTCTTGAGGTGGGAGATGGAAAGAGGACCTCTCATAGCACAGACAAGGAAGGCGAGGAGGAAGGGAGGGCAGGAAGGAGGTTCTCCCTCGCCGGCTGGGTGAGGGCTCCCTCTGCGGGCGCCGGTGTTCGTGCAGCTGCTCTCCACCAGCCCTGCAGGCCTGAGCACGCCTGCCTCACCCGTTGGAACAAAGCCAGGACCCAGCCCGGTTGGAGGGTGGAGAGACCCAGGCCAAGGTACCCCAGGCAACAGAGGGCTCTGACCAACCCCTGAGGGGAACACAGAGCCCAGACACACACCCGCCACCCCCAGGATGGCAAATGCCCCCATCCAGGAGGGCAAGAGTGACGTTGTCCACCTTGCCACCACCTGACCTGCCGGGCTCACACCTGCCCTCCAACCAGCTCCACTTCCCACCTCTCATGACACACTGCGCTTCATCTCCTTCTAGAACAGCCTCTTTCCTCTACTCTGTCCCTCCCACCCACATAGCCCAGCCCAGAGCTCCACTCACGCCTCCCCACCCCATCTCAGAAAAATTCCCATGACTGACACTGGCTGTCTTGGACGAACATACACACAGACACACACACACACACGCACACACCCTGGGCTTTATCTGCAGTGCTCACTTGGAAGCTTTGACATCTCTTGGCCATTCACAGACCCAAGCAAGGCCTCCAGCAAGACCCTTTAACTATCTCCCTGCCCAAGGAGGCATCAGGTACAAAGACAAAGGTAGAACCAACAGCAAGACCAGAAAGAAACTCCATTTTACTCACTTGATGAAATACACAGCTCCTTCCTGGGTGGAATCCATCTCCCAGCCCTTGGGCAAACCTGTGAGGAAGCAAGATCACAAAATCACCCTCTCTTCCACAAGCCCAATCTGCACTCTGGAAGGATGGGGGCCAGGAGAGCTAGGAAAATTCACAGATAAGCCAGTAGTGTTCAAACCAACAATTTCACCCTTTTCCATCCACTATTTTTATCAGTCTGTGTTTCCAGCAAGTAAGAGAGATGGCAGTGCAGGGGACATCCCCCGTCAATGAGCAGTAAAGTGACCAAAGAGATCACTGCTTTGCAGGCTTTGCTCATTCATTCAACAAACTTCTTTTTTTTGCGGTATGCAGGCCTCTCATTGTTGTGGCCTCTCCAGTTGCGGAGCACAGGCTCCGGATGCGCAGGCTCAGCGGCCATGGCTCACGGGCCCAGCTGCTCCGCGGCATGTGGGATCTTCCCGGACCGGGGCACGAACCCGTGTCCCCTGCATCGGCAGGTGGACTCTCAACCACTGTGCCACCAGGGAAGCCCCCCATTCAACAAACTTTTATTGAGCATCTACTCTGTGCCAGGCCCTGTGCTGGCCCCCAGGGATATAGCAGTGAATGCATAGATGATTGCCCTGGAAGGGTCCTCAGGATCACCCCTGCTTATATCACAGAAACAGAAGTTGGTGCCAAGGGTGGGTCACTTGCCCCAGACCTTATGGATAATTAGCACCCAAGATTAGACCAGGACTCGAGTCTTCAAATCCCAGACCAGTGTTATTACCTCCAGATTCTGCTGCTTCTGGACAAGACACCAAGGACCAGAAAATCAGTCCCAGAAAAAATGAAGAGACTGAAAACATTTTTTTCTTAATACTACCTCCGAAAGAATTTATCCATGAAAATGCTCAGAATGGAGAATCACTGACTTGCAAAACAAGAGAGGACTGAATAGCCAAAGAAGCTGACCTTGGCTCGGAAGCGTCTAGGCAGTCCTCCAGGTGGGCGCAGCCCCTGCTGGACAGCTCCAGAGAGACACAGCCCCTCCTTCTCCAAAGAGCACTCTGTTAGCCTCCACCTCTGCCCACCCTCCCAAAACAGCCACCCTGGCAGAGTCCTGCCTCCCTGGCAAACCCAAGGCAGAGGAGGAGGGGTCTTCTGAGAAACCCGAGAGAATCCAGTGTCAGAGGTGGGGACAGGCAGGGTACTGGTAGAGATCGTTCCTTTGGGGGTGCAAAAGCCCTGTGGCTGACACATTACAAAACAGGTGCGGATCCTCTCAACACTCGCTGCCACTTTTCTGATCAGTTCAAACGTTTACCTTGTGTACGAGGTTTTATAAAATACAGCTATTCACTGCTGGTCTGAATCTCTCCTGCTATGTTACCAGCTGCCTTAGGCTCCAAGCTGCTGGAATGCAGGGCTTGGGTTCTACAGAGTGGTGGGCCCGGTATTTGTTCACTCATTTCACTCACCCCTGTGTAGCAAGGGTATGTATTTCCATACTTGCTGCTGCTGCTTCAATGCAGCAGGGCAGCCAGCGGTCCCACCTCCCTCTCAGGACTTGGTCCAGAGAAATGATAACACCAGCTGCCACTTAGTGAGAGCTTCCTTCCTCTAAGGTACACATTTCCCCACTACTAGCATATTTAATCTGCACAGCAACATTATACAATAGGCATCAGCCCAAACATTTTTACAGATGAGGAAACTGAGACCCAGAGAGGTCAATCAACTTGCTTAAGGTCACACAGGAAGTGTCTGGGCCAGGATGTGAGTCTGGTTTACTGCCTCCAAAGCTCACATTCTCTCCTCTGTGCTGCCCCATAAATGCTACTTGTTCCCCTCTGTCCCTGTGCGAGGATGTTCCCATTCAGAAGGGCGTGGGTTGGCAGCCTCCCCAAATAGAGGGATCCCCACTGGGTCAGAACCATAAATAATCCTGCCAGTGTGATGTGCCTGGGAAAGAGGCCAGCGTGGATTATGTCCCCTGCCTTTTCCAGCAACTTCCCTCCACACTGCCCTCTCTGCCCGGGCAACACCAAGGGTGCTTATATTCCTGTCCAGGCGGAGTGCCCGCTAAGGCAGCTGCCCTCCCAGCAAGCTTCAGGGGCATCTTAACCCCTTCCCAGCCTTGGACAACCAGTTAGCTGCAGCCAAAAATGAAAGAATTGGCTCACAGACTTGCATGCATCCTCTAGCCTTACCTAGGGTCACGGTGAGCTGGATGGACTCAAACTGCAAACAGCCAACACCAACCCAGAAGAAGAAAACAGCCCCTGCCCCTGGGGTCAGGAAGCTTCACTTCAAGTCAAAAATACAATAGTGACAATAACAATAGCAGTCACCGCTGTTGACAGTGACTCTGTTGCCTAATTTGTGCTACAACCTTTTGAGATTCATAATCCTATCCCCATTTTATGGATTAAGAAGGTGAGTCCCAGAATTAAACCACTTGCTCAAGACCACACGAATAGAAAGTTGAGCCAAGATTTGAGCTCAGGTCTCTGTCTCTAGAACTTATGCATTTAACCCCAACGCTGCTTTGCTTATTAACGGAGTGGCCTTGAGCCAGGCACTTCCTCTCTGCTCTTCCATTTCCCTACCTTTAAAATGAAGGAGTCAGACTCCATGATCCCTGAAGTCCCCTCTGGCTCTAGAACCACAGTGAGTCTAGTCCTGAATCTAAAAGAAAGTAGGCTCTGGGCAAGTCAACACCTTGACCCAGCATGTCCATGAGTGATCGGGACTCTGTGTAGTTGGGTGAAGGGCTGGAAGGCCAGAAGGGCAGGGGGTTTCCAACGCTGTCGCTCCCACCCCTCCCCTTATTGGTCTATAGTGGCAACCCGAAGAGGAGGATGATTGTTCCCTTGAAGTACCCCAGGCCTTCTGACTCTTGGTGTCTCCACCTCTTCAACTTAGAATGAAATCATCTTTGTCCGGAGGGGTCCTATCTTCCCCACTAGGCTGGGAGGTCCCTGAAGGCTTAGTAATGGAGTCTTCTTCATAGTAAGCAATCAGTGTTGGCCCTGTCCCCTTTTCTTTCATGTTCCCCTCAATGTGAAGCAGCTCCTGCTAGTCATGTGGGGTTATTTTAATTTAATTTAATTTAAATAAAAAATTCAGTTCCTAGGTCACACTAATCACATTTCAATTGCTCAGTAACCCCATGTGGCTCATGGTGACTGTACTGGGCAGCAGAGAAAGAGAACATTTCCATCATGGCATAAAGTTCTATGGTACCGCACTGGGGGCTAGGGTTCTGCCCAGTTCGGGAGCTCTCAGGATGGAAGGGATTTTCTGACTGGGCAGGGGGATGAGAGAGGAGTAAGCTCTTTCTCCTCAAAGGTCAGTCCCAGATACTAGTCATGGGGCTGGAAGTTTGAAAAGACCTCAAGGTGAGCGTCACCCCTCCTGCAAAATCCCCCACATGGTGGGCCAAATGCTCAGCTGAGTCTGTCCATGGAGAAACGAAAAGTCGGAAGCAAAGTCAGCGTTGGGGGTTCCCACAGCCACCTCAAGCCATGCCTCCTCATGGATTGCAAAGGCAGGGACAGATGAGATCCTTACCTGGGCTGGAGGAGTGTCCACTCTGGATGGGCGATTCTGTACCAGGGTGCACCCAGCTGGTTGACTTTTCTTCATCACTAGAGAAGACCAGAAAGAACATGTGAGATACAAAAGAGGCTTCTGTGAGGAGGACACCCATCTCCACATTCACATCAGTACTGACTGTCTGATCCCAGACACCTGACATGGGGGCACCCAGGCTGCCTTCATTCACTCACGTTCACAGAGCATTTACTGAGCAGACTCTGGGGATTCAGAGATTTATAATCCTGGATCCCTGACCTCAAAGAACATCTAACTCATGGGGAAACAGACAAGAAAAAAGACATTTGGAATATGATGTGATAGGAGCTATATAATCCCTACTATAGCTATGCTCTCTCTGCAGAGAGAGCATTTCACCATCAGAGAAGGGAGTACTCCCTGGATGGAGTTAAGGAAGGGGAACAGCATGAAGGCTTCAAGAAGGAGGTGACATTAAAGGTGAATGGTGAAGCCATGTGGAACGTACACGGAAGGTCCTTAACTGGCAGCTTCTCAATGGATAAGAGAAGAGGAGGCTGGGTGAACTGACAGTCCCTGAGTGTATGCAGGGCTGTATACCATCATTCACGATGGTCCCTCACATTAGGAATATTACAGATTATGAATCTGAGGTTCAGAGACGTTAAGTAATTTGCCCAAGTTCATACAATAAATAACTGATGAGGCCAGGATTCAGACCTAGATGTGCCCCCCTTAAAACCCAAGCTCTTTTTAACATCTCACTCCCAGCAAGCTGGGCTCCCCAGCAGTGCAGATCCTCTGGGCTCTAGACGCCATGGCAGATGAGTCCATTGACCTTTCCCACCAACCAAGGATACCAATATTTCCTGAGCCAGAGGTATGTGGAGGAGAGGACTCCCAGATCACCCAGGCTTTAGGCTGGGGCCTTGGGGTCCAGGACAGGACTCCACTCAATAATTAATACCTTAACTAATATAGTAAACTCCACTAAGAAGGGTGCCACTAAATTTCTACTAAAGTAAGATATACAATAAACTGCACATATTTAAAGTGTACAATTTAATAAGTTTTGACATAGTTGTACACCTGTGAAACTATCACCAAAATCAAGATGTGAAGCCTCCAGATTTTCTTGGCGCTCCTTTGTAATTCCTGTCTCCTACCCTGCCGGCTCCTATCCTCCCCCACCCCCCTGCAGCAACAGATCTGTTTCCTGTTACTATAAATTCGTTTGCATTTTCTGGAGTTCTTAGAGTTTCATATACGTGGAATCATACAAACTAGGCTTCTTTGTCTGACTTCTTTCCTTCTCGTCTTTCTTCCATGTGCTAGCATGTGTTAGTAGTTCATTCCCTTGCAGGATATACCTCATGTGCTCATCCCCTCACCTGCTGATGGACATTTGGGTTGTTTTCAGTTTGGGCCATTACAAATAAAGCTGCTTTGAACACTCGGGTCCAAGTCTTTGTGTGGATTTATGCTTTCTTTTCCCTTGACTCCACTAATTTTCCTCTGAGTTTGAACACCTGCTGCAGGAAAAACGTTCCCAGATGACCCACCCCTCTGATGAAGAGAGAATAAACAAAGTTTCTTAAACAAAGCTCTGGAGCCATGTGCACCTTTGGAGATGACCTGTGGTCTGGGCTTTGGTCCTGGGAGGCAGGGGAAGAGGAAGCCAAGGAAGGGGGCACCTCCTTACACCTTCTCTTCAGCTGCCCTGAGATTTCTGGCCCTGACCCCTTCTTCCTCTCACACTATCGGCTCCTTCAGACTTCACGTCAATCTCCACCCCGCCTGGACATCACCGACAATCACAGGGTCACAGAGGTGGGCACAACCCACCATTCCCTCAACTTCCTCTCCCCCAACCTTCCCCCACCCTCCAGTCATCAGTCCCTGGTGAAAAACAATGCAGTCACAGACCTTCTCCACTCTAGCTTTGAGCCCAAAGCTGGTGGGGAAATTGTGGCACCAGGAGGACTGGGGTCATTGCAAATCCACCAGCTATAATCTTCTTCAGGGGCCCCAATCAGTTGCCATTTGCCAAGTGTTCTAAGGCTTCCCACCAACCTCAAGTCCCAAGCCTGCCTCTCCTCCCCTCCCTCTCACCCATTCTCCATGGATAATCTCATCTCTTAACTCAAGAGAAATAGAAACCACGAGGCAGGTTTCTACCCAATACACTCAACCTCCCCCTCAAACTTATCCATATTTCCACCCATCCTTTAATGCTTGTCTCTACATTGGAGAAAAGGTGGCCTCCTCCCACTGAAGGCTAGTCCTTTTGCGTGGGTCACAGTCTCCATCATCTCCTGTCTTTTCTAGACCCTTTTTCTATTGAGCATCGCAGATTTGTATCTTCAACTTCTCTCTCCCTCTCGGGTCCATTACTTGAGCCCCCACTCCTGTTCGTGTGTTCCAGTCTGAACCCTCTATCTCTCTCTTAATGCCGTCTCCCCTTCTAGCTTTCTTCTCGTGTTCCTCTTCTTATTGACCAAACATCCCTGTTAGAAACTAGTTCCTTCTAACTGTCCCCACTTCCTGGCCTCCCATTCGCCAATTCTCTGCAATCTGGTTTCTGTTCCCAGCCTTCCCCTGAAACCACTTTCCTAGAGGTCATTAAACACCCCCAGTTCCTAAATCCAGTAAACACTTTCCAGTCTTAAGCTCATTTGGCTTTTCCACGGTTGACCATCCCTTCCTTCTTAACATCTCTCTTCCTTCCCTCTGGGGGGCACGCTACCCTGGCCGTGGTGCTGCCCACCTCTGCATCCTGGGTCTCCTCCAGTCTGGCCTCTCTTCCTCTATCCTTTCCTTTAATGCAGTGCTGCCTGGGGACCCTCCTGTCTTCTCCCTCACACACTCCAGGGTGGTCCCAGCTCTACATGAAGACTCTCCAGCCCAGGCCTCTCTCTTCAACCTCTATCCTGTACACCCAGCCACCTGTGGGACATCACTTCCTGAATGTCCCATGGGGACCTCAAAATCAATATTTCCCGGCTGGATCTGTACTTTCCCTAAAGTCTGTTCCTCTTCCCATACTCCTGATTTCTATCAAACTCAAGTTAAAAATTTTAAGATTTATCTTCAGCTCTTCCCCCTCTCACCCCTCGTTCCTCAACATTCAGGGAGTAAATGGAAACTCTCAATTCTATGCCTAAAGATTTCTCCCACCTCTCCCCGCCCTTCCCCTCTATTCTCGGTGCTTTAATTCAAGTCTTTTGGACTTGGTGATTGCCTCCTAACTGCTTTCCATACCTCAAGTTTTTCCCCTTGCCTCCCTACTCAGCCCTCAAATCACCGTCAATGCAGCTGCCAGAGAGCTCCTTCTAAAACACAGGTCTAACTATGTCACTCCTCTGTTTAAAATCTCCTTTGGTCTCCCATCACTTACGGGATCAAGTTCAAACGCCTTAGCCTAACACACAAGGCCTCTCCGAAGCTGCCCACTTCCTACCTGTCTTGCCTCACCTTCTGCAGCACCCCAGCCACCTCCACTCCACCTCTGCTGAATCTCTCAGAGTGTTCTAGATAACCTGGGCTCCAGCAACCACCGGTGCCCTCCATCCCACAGGCCTCTGCCTCAAGGCCCCTTTCATTCTAGTCTCTCTCCTCCAGAAGCAGCTCAAATGTTTCCTCCTCTAGGAGGCCCCCCCTCAACTCCTCAGAGCATTAGCTCTTTCTTCCTTATGTTCCTATAGCATCATGTAAATACCTCTGGAATGTATCTTATTATTTCATAAGTATTTATTTGCATTTTCTCTCTACCACCTTCAAGGAAAAACCTGTATCTGATTGTTTTTTATCCCAATACCTAACACTGCAGCAGACAAATAGCGGATACTCAATAAATGTCTGTGGAACGAACGACAAAAAGAAGCTGGAAGGCAAGCAAGAGATTGAGAAGAAAGATGAGAAAAGCCAAATTAACCACTTCGTCAGAACGCCCGAGGAGCTTGTGGAAATCGAGATTCCAAGGCCCACGCAAGATCTTCTAACTCGGACAGAATCTTTGGAGGCAGGGCTAGGGAATCAGCCTTTTTAACTAAGTTCCCTGGGTGATTCTCAAACCACTGACCAAAGGGACTCCAGTTTAAATCCTGGAGACGTCCTGTTATTTAAGAATCTGACGTAGGGTCAAGAACTTTAGTGGACTTAATTTCTAAGATAGTATAATTACAACATCAATTTTGATCACAGTAATGATAACTACAGAAGAAAAGCCTACAGCAAATGTGGAAACGGTAACACCAACAAGAAACCGCTGGCTGCCTGCACTCCTGCAAAGGCACTTTGGTACGGGGGGGGGGAAAGCAATGCACTCAATTCAGCGGGGCCTGGGCTTGGTCGGAGCTCTGATTAACAAGTGGTTTTATCTCAGAAAAGTACTCTCAATCTCTGCAGACCTCGCTTCCTGTCTGAAACATGAGGGGGTTGCATCCAAGCCTCCTTTCAGCTCTAATGTTCTGTGAGTGGCTATCTTGAGAAAGGGAAAACCCATCATGTGTGGGTAACAGTTCAAATGCTGTGCTTCTAGACTTGCTATATTATCGGGAAATTTCTATCGTGGCAAAAGAAGCCTATAGAAGTAGGCCAAAATAGCACCAGCGGAGCCACTCTGTTATAATGAGATTATGCCAGAGCCATTTTGGTTTATGTAATTAATATAACAGTGCTAATATATTACTGAGAACAGCAAAGCCTCCCTCTCTCTAAAGAATACCAAATGGACTGTGGGCATCTTCTTCCCCTTGACCACAGCCCCATAAAGATGCAGGAGGGAGAGGGGTTGCCATCTAGGGAACCCTGAGTCCTGGGGTGAGGGAATGCAGGGAAGCGGGCGGTAGAGGCAGGGTCTCCTGGTATGTTGTCCCTTAGCCCAAGTCTTCCCATAGGAAATGGTCGGGGAGTGGACACAAGAAAGAAAGGACTCACTCCTGTCCCCGTCAATGGCCAAAGCTGAAAGGAAGGAACTGCAGGCTGGGCAGCAGCTCTAGTCATCTTCCTCAGGGTTCCCATCCTGCCTGTGACCAGGCGAGAGGGGAAGGTCTGCACCTGCCCTGCCCTGCCCTGCCTTTCCAGGTGCAGGGAATGCTGAGCCTCAGCTGGACTTTGACCCACTGGGGAAAAGACGGGAGACACATTCAAACAGGCATCGTGATAAACTTATTAGTTATGCCTGCTGTTCCAGCCATTGCTTACCCTGACCCTCTCCTGCCGGCCCCCAGCCCTGCTGCCTTTCAAGTCAGACAACTTTAAAGAAAAAAGAGAGAGGGAGAGAAGATGAAACAGAGACCCACATACTTGATGAAGAAGACTCTCCCCCCGCGGTCAACTCCGTAGGTCCACCGGCCGGGCAAGTCCAGCCAGTCGATCTCATCGGCCATCTCGGTGTCCCGCAGCCCCTCTCGCTCTCTGCCCACCCGGACGCCGGGCTGCGGGGCGGGGGCCTACCGCGCACCCCCCACTTTCTGCTCCTCCTTCAGGCGGTGATGGGGGAGGGGGTCCGATGCGGTCCAGCCCGGCCCGCGGCGTACCTCCCGGGTGCCTGGCAGGGACTCTGGCCTCTCGCTGAAGGCAGCTGGCCGCCAGCCGGCCAGCAGCGAGCGGAAGACTTAACCCTGGCCGGGCTGAACGAGCTCGGCGTGCGCGGCGGAGCCGGCCCCAGACACCTCCTGCCTCTGGAGTCTGCGCTCCCCTTCGTCTCCTTAACTTAATGAGGGGCAATTAGCGCATGAGTAATTCTGCCGCTCCTCTCGCCGGGACTGCTAACGAGCAGCGCCGAGGGTTCAGTCCCCTCTGCTCCCCGCGGCCGGGCGGCTGGCGGGGCCGAGCGAGCGGGAGCGCGAGCCGGAGGATCCCTCCCCGAAGGGAGCAGGTTGCAGTGTGCGAGCGAGGGTGTTGCCTCCCGCTCCCAGCTCCGAGCCCGCTCCCAACCTCCGGCCGGGCGAGCGGAAGGCGGAGCCCAGCGGCCGCTCCGAGGGGACTTCACAGCCGCGGCCCGGCGGGTCCCCGAGTCCTGACACGGGGCGCGGGGGAAGCAGTTTGGCTGAAAGAGCTTTGAATCACGAACCTAAGGCACATGTCCAGTCACTGACCGAAAAAGGGGAAATGATCAAACCTGGTTCTACTTGGCGGGAGGTTAGTAGAGGTACACAGGTCAAATGCAGGGAAGAGTGCACGGGTGTGAGTAGCAAGGGGCCCATTTTTGCTAAGATGTCAAACTAATTAGTCAAGCCAGTCCTTACCTTTCTTTCTGAGCACTTCCTCCAAGAAGCCTACCATGACTAAGTAGAATCAGAGTGAGATCTTAGAAACACACTCAGAAACCAACAGCTTTTATATCCCTTCCCCCTAATTTGCAACAGAAAAGGAAAGAAAAAGGGAAGAGAGAGAAAGACAGAGAGAGACAGAGAGAGGAGGGAATGTGTTCTGTGGTACAGGTTGCAAGCATTCAATACTAGCAGATCAAAAATGGTATTGCTGAAGCCCACAGTTCTGCTGTCTCTGGTCTGAATCAAAGTTGGACTCCAGTCAGCTTTCCCAGCTTACTCAGGACCTGCCCCCTGGGGCTCCAATTAGATGCACACTGTCTTAATCCATGTGTCAGACCCAAGGGGATAATTAGACAATGGGAGAGACACCTGTCTTTAGAGGACGCAATGTGTCACATGGCAGCTGGCAAGTCTCTGTCGAGTGAGCATACTTACTGTGAGCATTCTAGGGATTGGACGCCTGTTCCACCTAGGTAATTCCTACTTATCCCTTTGGTGTCCACCCATGTGTCACCTCCTCCAGAAAGCCATTCTTGATTCCACCCCAGGCAGATTTATATGTCCATCCTCCATGTGTCATGGAGCCTTATTAATAACGCTGTAGTGGAGCTTATCATACTATAAGGCAATCCTCGGTACTTATCTGTCTCCTTCATTAGGCTGTGTGCCCCTCGGGGCAGGGGCTCCATTTGATTCATCTTTATAGCCCCAGCACCTACCTGGGGCACCGGATTTATGTCTGATGAACAACTGATACTGTCCTAACTAGAAATGGCTCTTAACTCTAACCACAATCCTGTACTTTTGGACCCTATTTAGGGGCCTGATAAATATAACCAGCAGCACATCAGGCTGTGTGTGGGGAGAGCTTTCTGGAAAAAGGAACAACCGGTGAGCCTTCCCAGGAAACTCAAATGCTCAACCTAGGTGTAATGTGTATACATCTGATAGATACTGAAGCCAGCAGATGCCTCAGAGAACATCTCATCCAAGGCTCTTGTTTTAAATATGGGAAACAGAAGAGCGAAGAAGGGAAGGGAAGCTTCAGGTCACTGAGCAAGGATCTGCCCCTCAATGTCCAGGCCAAAGCTCTTCCCATTACATCATTCTATCTCCAACACTGGAAATTCACTCTGCCAACATATACAGGCTGATTCCTGGTGCCAGGTTTAAGTTGAGTCCATTCTCCAGACGCAAAAAGGAGCAAAACCCCATAATACCCAACTCTTTTCTCCCTTCTCAGATCCTACATGTTTCTAGTAAAGAAAGCTGCATTGGACAGTAAGGCAGAGCAGCACCTGAGAAGCATAGATGAGGATCCGTGTCCCTTTGTAGCTCCTGAATTGGGGGGGGTGGGAGGGTCAAAGGGTCAGGTTCCTCACCAGTCCCCCCGTCCCCAGCCTTGTGAAACACCTGTACGCCTCATCCCGCTGATAAAGCACAGAGCCACCTGCGCACCCCTGTGATATCAGAGGATCTGAACCACCGGAATTGCTGCCAAGATGCCTCCAGGGAAAATACCAGCAACCAGTGCACTCCCAGTCCAACCTGAGCAACCAGTAAGGGTGGCTTCTTGGGCTGAAGGTGGGTGGATATAGGGGACAAAATGACATATTTTTGAAAACATGTATTACACCGCTGTCTTCTTTGAGGAGTAAGGGCTCCTGCTGATTTCTTCACAAGATTTTTGTCTTGTTTATCTCTAATCTAGCCTGGGGCTCCTTGGAACATTTACCTAGACCAAAAAAAAAAAGCGAGTGGTTGAGATTTTTTACGCATTTGAAATAAGAAAAGAGATCAAGTTTGAAAATACTTTTCTGACTGTGGTGTATTCTCGCCAGTGACTCCTTACATTCTAGTTCTTGTTTATCAATTATGATCAGGATTGATACTGCTAATAAAGACATTTTAGCAAAGAAACTAAAGACAATGCAGAAAGGGAGTAGAAAACTCAAATAAAAATAGCTATTGGTTCAACAGTTACGTGGAAGAGGGCAGGAGGGTGATCTGTTGAAATGAAAACCTTACATGCTTTGCAGTCAAGTCAGAAATTTAGTTGTCTGCTCTTCCCTTACAGCAAATTTAATTTTATCTCTTTAAAAGGCAACAAAGCGTGTGGTAAAATATATCAGCAAAATTTAGAAATGATTCTGATTCTCTCATACGTTTGAAAGTTTAAATCAGTCACTTGAATGTTATTATGCTTCTGGCTTGGTTCCAGCAGTAGGCTGAAAAACAGCCCCCCAAAAGCTGTCCATGTAAAATCCCTGGAGCCCATGAATGTGACCTAACTTGCATGTAATTAAGACAAGGATCTGGAGAGGAGGAGATTATCCTGGATTATTTGGGTGGGCCCTAAATTCAATGACACATGTCCTTATAAGAGAAAGGCAGGGGGAGATTTGAGACAGACAGAAAAGGAGGAAGCAATGTGACCCCAGAGGCAGAGGATGAAGTGATGCCACCACAAATCAAGGAATGTCAACAGTCACCAGAAGCTAGAAGACGCAGAGAAGGAATTCTCCCCCAGAGCCTCCAGAGGGAGTGTGGCCCTGTCAACACCTCAGTTTCAGTCTTCTGGACTCCAGAATTGTGAGAAAATAAATTTTTGTTGTTTCAAGCCAGCCAGTTTGAGGTAATTTGTTATAGCAACATGGGAAATTAACACAGTACCTATAAGAAAATCATAAGTTAACGAGGACTGAAACATATGTCCATTATTTTTACTTGTCCAATATTCAATCTCCATTCTTCTGTTAATAGCCCCCTGAGTTTCCTTTTGGCATCTACCCTTCTGCCACTGTCCGTCCACGTGGGTTGATGGGCTGCCTCCACCCCCACCCCAGCTCCATTGGTTCAGGAAAGGACACATGACTCAGCCCAGACCAATGAGATTCAGTTTTAAAAAGATCCCAGAATTCTTGGGAGGAAGCCCATTATCTCTTGGATTTGAAGCTGGCAGGTATCATTTTGGTGCTGCTGGGGTCTTTCTGCAGGGAAAGCTTGCTGAAAGTGAAGCCAGTACAGGAGAAAGTGGAGTCAGAAGATGAAGACAGACTGGGTCCTCATATCCTATGAGCCCTAGGACCCAGCTTGCCAGAAGAGGCTCTACCCCTGGAATTTCAACTTGTAGGTGCCAATAAACACCTTTATTTGCTTCAGCCAATTGGAGTTGGGTTTCTGACCCTAACAACTGAAAAAATCCTAACCAGTACAAAGGTCACAGTGTCTTGTGTCCCTGTTTCTTTGTTGTAACCAATGTTTCTTTGGGAAAGCCAGTGAGATAACCACCTGCGTTTCTAGTGACTTGAGAATGCAGACTCTTCTCTGTCAATAGATGGTCTTAGGACCATCCAGTCAAAGCCCACACTTTCCCCCTAGAGGGTATTGGAGAACTCAGGAGAAGTACCCAGAGTTGTGATGATTCCGCAGGAGAGTTAGGACCACAACTCAGGTCTCCTGAAAACCTGATCAGTAGAAAGCTGTGTTTCAACGCATTTGCTTTATCATTTAAACATATTTGACCAAGAGACTCACAATTACAAGAAGATTATAACCGATACCTCTGCTCTACTAAAGAATAACCACAACAGTAATTTTTATTGAGTGCTGGTGTTGAATAGCTATGCTAACCAACAGGCTCGGTCACCAGCCACTGCTGATTATTTTACAGGAACTAGGAAGCAAAGGAAAAGAAGGCAAGGCCCTCTCTGTTGGGATTAGATATACGATTATGTAAACATGCAAGAGCCCAGACAAACTAGTTGCTTGATTAAAGTCGTGATTTGATAAGGGTTTGAGAGAGGCGGTTTTTGTTATAAAAAACAAAACTGGTTCTGGTAACCAGAGGATTGTGGACTCCTGAAGTTTCCCTACAGCCAGTTGAACTGAATTACATTTGTTTCACAGATATTTATCGAGTACCTTCTGTGACCCCAGTATTCTTCTAGGTACGGGGGATCCAGGAGTGAATAAAACAGAATGCCCTTGCTCTCGCAGAATTTACATTTAATAAATACATAGTCTCGGAGGACGATGAGTCTATGGAGAAAAATGGAAAGAGTAAAAGGATAGGAGAGCAGTGGATGCTGCTATCTTATATTCCATAGATTTCATATAGGGTTGGCAGGAAAGGCCTCATTAAGAAGAAGGACATTTGAACAGAGGCTTGAAGGAAGTGAGACAGCAAACCATGTGACACTGGGGAAACATATTCTAGGCAAAAGAAGTAATAAGCGCAAAGGCCCTGAGGCAGGAATATCCTTGGAGTGTTTGTGAAATAAGGAGGCCAGCGCTGCTGAAGCACAGTGAATGAGGGAAAGAGTAGTAGAAGGGGACTGGGGGGGGGGGGGGGGGGGGGGGGAGTGAGGAAAGCCAGATCATTCCAGGTCACTGTAAGAAGATCAGCTGTTATCTAAATGAGATGGGAAACTGCTGGAGGTTTGAGTGTAGGAGCAATATGACCATTGTGACTTAAGAACTCTTTTAGAGGATCATTCTGGCTGCTATTTGGACTAGGGTAGAAACAGATTCCAGCTAGGAGGTTACTGCAATAATCCAAGCAAGACATGATGATGGCTTGGTTCATGGTGTTGGGGGTAGAAGTAGTGAGAAATTGTCAGATTCTGGGTATCTTTTAAAGGTAGAACTAATAGGATTTGCCTACAGATTGTAATTGGGCTATGAGAGAAAGAGAATGAAGCATGATTTGCACATTCCTTTTCCTCCTGAGTGATGAGAATACACTCAAGGCTGACTTCCAAGTCTCCCTAGTACCTGATTACAAGGTATTTGGCCTGAGCACCTGGAAAGACAGAGCTGCCACTGACTGAGATGGGAATAGGCTGCAGGAAGAGCAGGCGTGGCAGGGGAGAGTGGGGGAACCAATTTAACTCTGAGCATGTTACGCTGGAGTTGCCTAAGAGATTCCCAAGCAGAGATGCCAAGGAGGTGACTGGGTATATGAGATTAGAGTCTGTCTCAGGAGTTAGAGATATTTGGTATTTTTTCAGCGATTAGATGGTATTAATGCCATGAAGCAGGTTGAGATAACAAAGGAAATGAGTGTAGGGAGGGAGGAGGCAGAGACCAAGGGCTGAGAACCAGGACACTCTACCTTTTAGAGGTCGTGTTAATGAAAAGGAACCTGCACAGAAGACTGAATAACAAGTGACTAGTGAAGCAGGAGGAGAACAACAGAGAATACTATCCTGGAAGTGAGCCTTGAGTGCATTCACATCACTCACAAGGAGGAGGAATGAGCAGATGGTGCCTGTGGTCTAGAAGGGTTGAGGTTAGGGTGGATTCTGTCTGAGCAGGAAAAGACTTGTACTCCTGTGTGCGAGGGTGGAGAGACGGCTCAGGCTACTTTTAAGTTGGTCTGAGAGGGGCCCTGGGAAGATGATCATTTCAGCTAATGAGCCCTTGCTTACCCTAGAGAGGAGTGCCTGAAATGTGCTTCCTTCAGCTGCATCTCTCATAGTCTCTGTGCTGGCTTCTCCTGGGAATGAGGCCAGCCCAAGATGGCGGTCTGACTTCTCCTGCCAGGACTGTGTCATGGAGCAAAGAACTGGCACTGGCAGCTTCCCTGAGGGGGAGGGGTGGAATGAAATAGTCAGTCAACAGCTCAAGGCAAGATATGCGGGCTGGGTGGAGCCTGGAGAAATGGTCCAGTAGTCATTGCTGATATTTCTTCTCTGGGTCTCTTCTTGAATCTACAGCTTAGGCAATGCTCTTTCTGTGCTGACTTTAATGTCTGATCTGGGGTTTTTCTAAAAAATGGCAGCTGTGCTGACTTTGGCATTTCCTGGAATTAACACAGCACTTTGGTTCAGTTTAGTTCAATAAACTTGTAAAGCACCATTATGCCTCTATCTCTGAATAGAGATACTGAAACTGTTCCAGCCGTTAGCCAACCAGTTTCTTCTCCTCCTGTCTCTGCCACCCACCAACCTGCTGGTCAGTCCCCTACATTGTTTTTGGTTCAGCATCATCCTCTCCATCCCTTATCTCCCTCTCACTTTGGGTAACTTCAGTGCTGATGTGAATAAACTATCCAATGTCCTAACCTCACAGTACCTTAATCTCTGCAACTCCAGGGACATTCACCTCCTCTCCAATAAGTTACTCACACCCAAAGCTGTTCTTTAGACTTTCTCACAACCCAGATTCACTCCAATTTGGAAAACATAAACTCTAATATCCTACTTTCTGACCACAGTTTTGTTCCTTTTAATACCCTCATTCCTTTCTTCCCTGTACACCTATTCTTTGCCTTCCTACTGTACCTTTATCCTCATGAGTTTCCTCTTAATCTACCAGTGAAAGCCTTTTTTTCACTTCCTGCACTGTTCAGCCCAAACTCATGGCCTGTCACTTCATTCCTTTACTAACCAGTATTCTAGTCCATGTGTCCTCAGCTGTACCCACACTGAAAACTCCACTCTGGATTAATCTGCCTACATTTTCTGCTCCAATGCCCAGAAAAATATCATATCAAGCTATTGTAGGAATTAAATAAATTGATGCCCCTATCGTTCACACTCTCCAGCCTTCCACAGGTGTCTTGCTGTGTCTATAGTCACTCTCAGCCGCAGACCATCATTATTCCAAGAGAAAATAAAGGCCATAAGAAAGGCACAGCCTTAACCTAGAACACCTTCACTGCAGTCTCCCTATGCCCATTGTTACAACCTTATCTATATTTCTACCCATCTGTCTCTCTTTCCTCCTATCCAAAGCTAAACTTCCATGTTCTCATTCTTACAAGTGTCCATCCCTTACCAGATCCTCAGAAATCTTACTCAACATCAGTTATCTCCTCTCTCCTATATTTTCAAGCTTCCCCCTCTTCCAATTCTCTCCAGAAAACCTATAACAAAGTTCAAGATTTCTACCATTAAAAAAAAACACAGGGGGCTTCCCTGGTGGCGCAGTGGTTAGGAATCTGCCTGCCGATGCAGGGGACACAGGTTTAATCCCTAGTCTGGGAGGATCCCACATGCCATGGAGCAACAAAGCCCGTGCACCACAACTACTGAGCCTGCACTCTAGAGCCCACAAGCCACAACTACTGAGCCCATGCACCACAACTGTTGAAGCCTGTGCACCTAGAGCCTGTGCTCTGCAACAAAAGAAGCCACTCCAATGAGAAGCCCACGCACTGCAACGAAGAGTAGCTCCTGCTTGCTGCAACTAGAGAAAGCCCACACGCAGCAACAAAGACCCAACACAGCCAAAAAAAAGAAAAAAACAAGAATAATGTTGCTGTTCCAAAGTGGGCAGCCTTTTAACCCATTAGATAAAGAGCAACCTTTAAAAAAAAAAAAAAAAAAAGGCATTGGTTCAAGATGGCAGAGTAGAAGGACATGCACTCACTCCCTCTTGCGAGAGCACCAGAATCACAACTACCTGCTGAACAATCATCAACAGGAAGACACTGGAACTCACCAAAAAAGATACCCCACATCCAAAGACAAAGGAGAAGCCGCAGTTAGATGGTAGGAGGGGAGCAACCACAATAAAATCAAATCTCATAATGGCTGGGTGGGTGACTCACAAACTGGAGAACACTTATACCAGAGAAGTTCACCCACTGCAATTGTTAGACCTTCGCGGTCTCCTAGGAGTTTCGACTCGCCCAGGAAACAACAAGAGTCAGAAGCCGATGCAAAACGCAAGAGGTTTATTGAAGGCCGGTGCACCGGGGTTCCTTGGTCCTCACGCAGGAGGTCGAAGAAGGAACCCTTTTGGGCGCGAATATGTCAGTTTTATAGGTTCCCACTGCCCCGTATGTAAATTATAGATTTGGTTGTGTTCTCCTGCTGATTGGTCCCGGCTTAGGCTCGGACCAGAGAGGGAACTTGTCCCTAGCTGCCTGATTGGTCTTTGACAGACACCTTTTTTACATTTTGTTATCTCCCTCCTTCTC